GGTTTCGGGGCTTCAGGGTTTAGGGCTTCGCTGAACGGCTCCTCTAGCAAGCTGCCCCACTTCGGGTTGAGGGTGGCTTCGGTTTTGCTTTTGGAGCTCCAGAGAATTCGAGTTGCTCCAATTTGGGTACTGGAATGATGGACAAAGGGCTGCTGCGGATTTAAAGGTAGCATGTGGGCCTCACCAATTGGACGGTTCCTGTAATGGTGTTCCTTCAGTTCTCAGAAGGCATAAGAGGTAACTGACGCTCGGTTTCTGGGGGCTGGTTAAAGTAAAGCCGAAACACTAAATCAAAACTGCAAAATGCTGCACTGCACCGCCGGCCGAACACTATTTTTACGCTGGCAAGTAGCACTGCCGGATCTCCATGATCGGAAGCAACAGAGTTTCGAAACCAGTCTTGCTTACACTTTCTTACACTTTCGGTTGCCTTCTCTGGGACTATGACTCAGTCAAAGCTCCAGCTCACATCGTCGGCCTTTTGCGTGGCCTCGCTGACCACGACGATCTTGAAGCGCTCCCACGACCAGCTGTCTGGCAAGTTCTGAGGATCCTTCGTTGCGCTGCTATCCATGACCTGGCTTGAAGGAAAGATCCTTTACGGTTCGAAGGTCTCTACCATGACAAGGCACTAGAGGAACCACCTACAGCTGAGAAGTCCCCAAGCCCTAAACCCCAACTGGCTAAATGGCCTTGTCCGTCATTCGGATGAAGCGGTTTGCGTCGGTGTTGTGGAAGGCAAAGGTTCCGTGGCCTGCGGGAAAGACGGTGAAGCGCGGGGAAGCCCAATGACCTGGCAGGTTCGTGGCGGCCCTCGTAGAGGTGGTCTTCAAGTTGCTCCCCGAGATCCGAATGAATCGGCGCCACCTGGCGTTGTAGAAAGCAATCTGGCCATATCCAGCATCCACTACGGTGAACTGCTCCGACAGCCAGTGTGCTGGAAGGGGGCCGAAACCGCGTTTTGCACTCCGCATCATCTTGTTCCCGCTCATCTTGATGTATCCTAAGCTGTCTGACTGAGGGAGCTACATAGACATTGCTTACCATACAAGATATAGGGTGAACGAGCTGTCTGCCTAAATATGAAAGAGTTAACCAAATTCCTAAACCCTAAANNCTAAACCCTGAACCCTAGACCCTCAAGAACTCAGCGTCTTTTGAATTTTCCGCTATGCAGGGCCACCACAGAGCCCGGCTGCAGGAAGGGCTTCGCAAGCACGACCTCCCAACGCTCCCAGCTCCACCCTTTCGGCAGATCCTGCGGAGACTTCAGACCCTAAACCCTAAAC